TAGACAATCGTGATCATTCCACAGTCAGGGTGGCCAGGAAGGCTTCTGTGCGAGTGCTGTATGTCCATACGACCACTGGTCGGTTGATTGCCAAGCTTAATACCATGAATTGCTTTGCAAGTAGGGCACTGTAAACTTCCATTCTGGAAGTTAAGGATAACAAAAAGTGCTAAATAAATTAAATATGTTAAATCATCTTGGAACTGAAAAGTATTAAGTTTCAGCAGAGTAACTGTACATAGACAGGGGGACCCCATATGAAAAGGATGGGGGCACCTGCTTGTCAAAACTTTTGAGAAGAACCCCTAAGAGGTACAAAAATCATGTTTTGTGGGCGTGGTTCAAAATATTTTTCACCCCTAAGAGGTACCAATTTTGAAACAACACATTATCTCTTGTCATATGTTTTCAGCTCAATACCCTAAAAGGTATGCAAAAGCTCCCACTGTGGACATTTCAAGGCTTAATACTCTAAAGGCCTGTTCAAATGGGAAATGTTTGGCGACCAAACACCATCAAACATTGTTTGGTGACCAAACATTTTACTGTTTGGCCACCTTGTTTGGTGCTATTTGATTGTGTTTGAAAAAATTTGAAGGCCATCAAACATTCGATCAAACAACCTAAAACATTTCTTTTGTTCTGGTGTTTGATGGGTGATGTTTTGTTCGTTTAGACAGCTGTATCAAACATGTTTGGCATGCGCATGCATCCCACGCTTGCTCTGCATCTCGTATCCATAGTTTGATCTGTGTTTGATCAAACATGTTTTAACCGTTTGGCCTCTCACTTCAACATCAGCATGTTTGGTCACCAAACAATGTTTGATGATGTTCGGTTGCCAAACATTTACTGTTTGGACAGTCCTTAAAAGCTACCACAACTGCTTTTTTAACTCCTAAAAGGTATGACAAGCTCCCCTTTCCTTTTTATATAGGAGTCCCTCCCCCCGGGTGTAGACCTAGTTTTTCCTGTTTTCTGAGATCAAACTCAAACTATTCCACACTGCCTATCATGAATCTGGTTACCCCTGGTAGTCCTGACATGTAGCTCTACATAGATCTATGCTTACTGTCTCAGGTTGGTCCTAACTTGCTCAGAAAATTCCAAATTAAACAGATCCCTGTAATGCTGAATCATAACAGTCAAAAGTCAAATCCTATAGTCATTCTTACAAAGGAAGAATTGAATGAGCATATATCTGATTAATGTACCTAATGATAACTAAGGCCTAGTTCAAACTAGTGACATAACAACATAAGAAGGGCGTTATGTCGCTATTGCTTGCAGTGTGAACATCCTGACAATTATTGTCATAATAGCAACATAACAGCATGAACATAACCACTTTTATTAGGAAAAAAGTGATCTTTTCGTTCTGTCTTTAAGTTGATGTTCATATTACTGACATTTAAGAAATTATGTCATTATGTTGTTTATGTTGTT